AAAAAAATATATAAATTAAATAAATTAAAAAATATAACGTGTTGAATTTAATGATATTAAAGAGTATTAATTTGAAGGAATCAAATTTTTCCTCAATTCGAAAATTATATTAATTACCTAGTAGCTTGACCAATATATTAAGGTAAGTCCATCATTTCTCATTAATTTAACAAACATCAACATACTCACAAAATACGTTATATATACCTGAAAAATGGAAGACTCAAAAAGTTTATAATATATTATAATATTTCTCTCTCTATCCATTAATTTTAAGATTGAATTCATCCGCCAAATCCAACAAATTCAAACCGAAAGAACCATCATCTTGAAAATTATGATGATTTGGGCACAATTTCTTTAATATATTTTTATATTTCTTTTAAAAAGAGAAATATATCTGAATTTATAGCTAAATTCTAAAAATAATTTTTTATTTTTAATTTAGCTCATATATTAAAAAAAAACTTTTTCAAAAAACAGATAATAACATGAAAAAACAGAAAATATTATTTATAAGTTTAAATTTAAAAGATATAAAATTAAAAATAAATAATCATCTTATAAGGATGTAAACCTTTAATTATCATCACAAAATCAATAATAAAAGGCATAGCTTAGCAATAATATTAAGAAAACGTCCAAATTAGTTGGTTCTATTTAGTCAATTTCAAGGGTTCATAAATCATATAAAATTCATGAATACATGATTGGATTTTTACAACTTGTAAAGGCCAATTTCTCGAATTGTTTTTTTTTACCTTTAATAAAAATAGTTGCTTTTAATATTCATATTATACATTATTTTAACGAATAAATAGAATAATTGTCTTGATGAATGTTTTTGTCTAATACCATGTGTTAAAAGGTTAAAGAATCTTTTTCTGCATATCACAATACTTAAAAGGCGAGAACTCGAATACACACGAAATATATACCTTAATAAATTCAGTAAATTAGAGTTTTTTAAAGGTTAAAAGAATAAAAAATGAACTTACACTATTATTATTTGTTGTTACTATTATTGTTACAACAAAAACAAAATTCTTTGTTATTGGTATGTTAATAACAAATTATTTAATTAATTAGGTCTCATTTGTTAATATTTTGTTTCTTGTTTCTAGTTTAATATTATTATTTTTAATTTTCTAAAAACATAAGTGTAGCAATAATTGTTCGTCAAAATTGTGTAAACAGTTTTTTAAACAACAAAATAAAAAAAAAAATTTGTTTTTTCCCTAGTTTTTTTTTTTTTTTAAAAGACGACAAAAGCATTATGCATTATTTTCTACTTATAAAATGAACCATAAATATCAAACATTAAATATATAATATAAATTTTTTTGAATAATTAATATAATTTTAAAAATTAATTTTGACATAAAACATTTACTCGTGCATGTATGAGGGTAGGGACCAAACTGTCACTTTTTGAAATTAATTTTTAAAATTATATTAATTATTTAGTCCTTAAATATAATGTTTTATGTCAAAATTAATTTTTTAAACTGTTATTTGAGGGTAGGTTTCTATTTATCCCTGAATTTTAAAAAGAAAAAGAGAGATTATATTATACTCATACCCTCAAACTCAGGAACCAAAATGTTAGAGTACAAGGAATAAGAAATGATTACCCTACAGTTTCATTTTCCAACAAAAATGAAATAATTTTCAAACACAAATTTTTTTCTTAATTGAAAAAAAGAAAACGAGAAACAAGAAACAAAAGATAAAATTTTTATCAAACTGGCTCTTAGTTTATAATTCTCTAACAGTATAATATACATGATGGTGTATGTGGATTAATATATACAATATCAGATTACGAAAGATTTGCGCTAAATAAATATTATATATTAGTTAGAATGTGTAAATTGAGCTATTACTCGTGCATGACTGTTATATTAAATTTTTTTATTCGAAAAGAGAGATTATAATTTTATCAATTTTAATTAGTTATAGCCTTAGCTTATAGGTTACACTACAACCTTCAAAAGAGAGAAATTGGAAATCAAACAAACCATATGAATAAAGGTGGAAACAAAACACACATGATGTAAGGTTTGGGTTTATCAAAAAAGGCCAAACAAACCCATCAATCATAAAACGCCTTACATTTTTAACTATTGAAACAAAAAGTTAGCTAGTTCTCTCTCCTGGTTGAGATTTGACAGAGCTTTACAAACCAGCACTAAAGTAAAAAAGAAAAATAAAATAAATAAATAAATATATATATATATATAACAAATTATTTTGAAATGTCAACATTAAAATACTTTGGGACCAAAATACCGTGAGTGTGCTTTTTTCCCCAGCATTTTATGGTGCTTTTGAGTTTTTTTTTTTCTTTTTCCAAAATATTTTAATGTTATTCTCGAACATAATAATTAATTTGATTGAAAAGATGTATTTGACTATGCTAAAATCATTCTTTAAAAAATTGTGACCTTATTTTCTAGATAAAGGTATAAATAGAGATAAGAATTGATGAGAACTTTTAATAAAATAGAGAAAATTTTACTTTCTACTTATGATACATATATTATTTAAATTCTAAAAATTAAAAATAAAATTTATTTAGAAAGCTTAAATATGTATATAAATAAAGAAAATAGTTGCCTCATTCATTTATTATTTCGCTCCACCTTATAAGTATAGGATTTAGAAACCTAGATGGAGTTGATTAGATATGTGAACAAACTCACACATTATTTAGAAGCGGTGAAAATCTTAATTTAAAAAATAAAGACAACATCTTTAAAATGTCCATAAATAAATTTTATATAAATTTAGATCGAAAGTAGACAATATGAACATATATATATTAGGGATGTTAAAAAAAATTAAATTTCTCGATACAAATCTAATTAATTAAATTACATATATAAAATTTTGAATCAAGTTGAATTGTCACCTTAAAATATTGTGGCCTTTTTTATTTCAATTTTTTTATGCAAAAACCCAATTTAATTAACAATATCTCATCAAACTAGCATATAATTAATTTGCTTTCACTAAAAAGAAAAAAATAATAATTATTCAACAAATAACCTCAAAACTCCACCACCATTTAATGCACCAAACCTACCATAAGAGATATTTTTCAAATTGATATAAAGAGGGTTTTTTTAGTCCAATAAATAGAGAGATTATCAACCCACCTTTTGACGGTAATATGAAATAAACGACCCGTAAGTTTATATTTCTTGTTTCTCGTTCTTTTACAAATAATAAATGTAACTTTTTTTTTGTTCTTATTCTTTTACTGAGAAAAGAAAAACAAAAATATGTTCGGTAACTATTTCTTATTTATTTGTCATTTATAATTTTATATAAATTTTATTGCAATTATTTTTTAAAAGTAAATATTAAAAAATTTTATGTTTTATTTATTTTTTACATATTTATGATGGAGGATAAAATGATGCTTTTATTTATGCTTTGAAAATAAATCGAAAACATAAACAAGAAATTGTTTTCTATAGTTTTTAAAATTTGTATATAATTTTGAAAAATTTTCATCAATGTGAGGACTAAAAACAGAAACAGCTACTAAAAATACTTGTATTTTTTTTAAGTTAAAATAAGAAAATTGAAATCGGAACATTATTAAATAAACCCAAAATTTCTTTAAAAACTTAATCCAAGCAAGCTTGGAATCTAATCTAATGAACACTTTCTGAAAGAAAAANACGGATTAAAATTTAAGAAATTAGTAATATTTTAAAAAAAAGTTCAGTTCTTGCGTTCCCACGTAATTAGAAAACTAATCGTCTTAAAAATAATAATAATAAAATTAAATCAGTCAGAACAAATTCGGTTAAAGCAACTCATAAAATCCAATGGTAAAAACAACGACTAACCTTAAAATCGCAAAATTTGGAGGAGTATATCCATATTATTTAAATTCATTTCAGACTACAGCCATTCTATTTAAAAATGATGTGAGATTCATGAATATGTATAAATATAATAAATAGGTACTCTTATAATACTATAAAATTTATCTAAAAAAATATTCAAACACTAACAACAAAATCAACTTCAAAACATGTGAATAGTGTGTTTGACGTGTCTTGATTGTAAAGTGTGGATAAATGACTAAGAATGATTATATATAATATGATAATGGGTAGTGTTTTGGTACCATTTTAAAAGTGGTAAACGATGTTTTAACTCATTAATAATACTTTTTAATAATCAAATGTAGTTTTTTGAAGATTAAAAAACGATAAAAAGTACTTAAAATATTCAAACACAAAAGATTTGTTATTTTTTACCATTGAAATAATTTTTTTTCTAAAAATACTTATTCTAAAACCACAATATGCAGGGGGAAATTTTAAACTCTAACGTCAAAATATTACTTACATTCAATCTCCCATCTTTTAACTAAAAAACAAATTTCCAAAACAAAAATATATATACATTAACAATCTGTTTGGTAATATTATCGTATTTTCAGTTGTTTAGAAGCATGAACATTTGAGTACTATTCATGTGTGACGTTTTAAAAACAACAAAATAATCTTTTTTCAAAACATTATTTGTCATTATTGACTTATAAAATGCATAATAATATATAACATAACAATTTAAATATTTAGTTTAAAAATAAACTTTATATACACATTTAATTCTAATTTAGAATTTAAATGTAATTTTAGCATATTTATTAAAAGAAAATAAAAAATAAGAAATCGAAGCGTCGTTGCTGGGCTAACTAACGTGCTGATACATTTAGGCCGGTCGGTCTAATTCGCTCTATAAAAACTAAATCTTGTTGTTTAAAAAAAAATCTAAATCTAAATATTGTCTTATCATGGAAAAATGTCAACTGAATTTAATAAAAAAATTAATTTTCTTAATTTTCAAATATTCAACGAGGGTCAGAATAAAATTAGAAGGCTAAGTATTTTGCTTTTCACAATCAATTTCTTGCCAAAATTTTCTCGTCTTCTAAACGTGCTGCCCATAGATGATAAAACCCAAAACGCATTTCCCAAACCAAAAGAGAAAAGAAAAAAAAAAGGAAAAAAAAAGATTTTATATAAAGATGTTCATCCTTCAATTGAAACCCATAATCCCAAAACCAAGATGGAGAAGAAGCTCTTTCTTCTAATTCTACTGCTTTTCTCTCTCCTCTCACTTTGCCAATCGGAATCGGCGCCCGCAAACGACGTCGTTCAACGCTCCTGCAAGCAGGCCGCGACGCGAGACCCATACGTGGACTACAAACTCTGCGTCGAGGCCCTCAGGGCCAATCCCAAGGCCCGAAACGGTGCGTTTAAGGACCTGGTCCTGGTCTCCATCGACCAAGCTAAGGCCAACGCCACGGAAATCGGGTCCGAGATTTCAGAGATTTTGAAGGGCAGCGGCAAATGGGGGACGAAGCCGAAGACCAAGACCAAGTATTCGTTAGATTGCTTGAGGAGCTGTTTGGAGCTTTATTCTGAGGCTGTTTCTGATCTGAAATCGGCTGTTTCTGCAGTGAAAATGGAGGATTACGAGACGGCGAAAGTGGAGGTGAGCGCCGCCATTGATGCACCTGTTAGTTGTGAAGATGGGTATAAGGAGAAGGATGGGGAGGTTTCTCCATTGACGGAGAAGAATGATGTGTTCTTCCATTTGGCTGCCATTTCTCTTGCGTTTGTTGATATGTGTTGAGTGTTGATGGGGCCTCCTCTGGCTTTCTTTGTGGCTCGATGGATTTCAACTTTAACCAATAAGAAATAATTAAGAATGTGCAACTTTTTTTTTCCTTCATATTTTGATGTTTTGGTGAATTTTTTTTTGGAAAACAACACGAATCTAATTATAAATGTTTTGTTGAGCTAGTTCCAGATTGACACGATATTTGGATGATGTTTTTGTTTCGTTGAACAATGTGATTTCTATCAGGTACCTCTTGGTTGTTCCTTTTAAAAAATGGGACAATTAAGAAAGATCAATACAACAAATAAAATAGAAAATCTAAAAAAATAGATGTCGAATCTTTTAACGATGAAAGGTAAGAAAATACTTTACTTACGAATAAGTATAGTCTTATCTTTTTGTTCTTAGTACAACGAATATAATAGTGTAGAGATCTTGGTTGTTGTTTTATGTTTGAATAGTTTAAAACTAGAGTATAGCTAAGTAGTCAAGAGGTCTCTATCTATTTCTTTCTTTTTAGAGTTTGTAGTTTGTAGTTTTATTTAATTTTAAATATTATGAGTATCTAAACGGTTGACTCATTGGTTTAAAAGAGACCAGAAAAATATATAAAAGAATTGAGAGTTAATTAGTTCAAACTCCACGTTGAATTTGTGATGTAATATTTTTTATAACTCAGTGGGGTGGAGTTCAAGGGAAAAAAACTTTTGAAAGAGTTTGGTTTTAGTGTACAAAATTGAGTGGTTGGTGAGTTGAAAGGAGATACACCCCAATTTGAAAAAGTGGGTTACACCAAAAATAGAGAGAAACAAAACCCACGACCCTCCTTCTCAATTAATATGGTTAGTTTCACCTGTCAACTCTAACCCGCTCTCTCAAATAAGGTTGGTTTTGACTACCTCTAACCCTTTCTTTCAATTAGGAGTGTTATCGAGGTGGGACGGAGATGACATCTCTAGTCACTTCCTCGTTCCCGTTTCAATTCTCATCTCTGCAAAAGAATTTAGGTCAAGATTTCTTACGGAGATTGAATTTCCCGCAAAAAAGTTATTCATCAAACTTACTTTGGATATGGAAAAATGAGTATTTAGAGATGCTTTCGTTATTCCCAATAATATGGCATAGGAACCATATGGAAACACGTGAAATATTAGCAAAAATCAAGATGGGATCATGATTTTTTTGGAAATGGGGAATAAGCGGGCGTTCTATATACTATGAAAGATCTTTTGTATTTCTTATAAAAACTTGTGATGCACTTCTATAATATTTCTAGTGAAGTTCATTCTTTTCTGAGTTATTCCAACTTCCTTATGATTTCGTGCCACAGTAAAAAAAAGGACCCTCGAGAACAGAATTGGTGGAGAGAGGTTGGGGCTTGTAGCTCATAGGACTCATTCTTCAACCGGCATGCGATCAATTATTATCATTATTTTTATATTTTTAGTTCAATTGTTTATTATCATTATTTTAAAGAAATACTCAATACATTTTAATTCTCCATGGAATTCCCATTTTAAATGGCTAAATCCAAAACCCTGAAAGCTATTAATTTTTTTTTAAGAATGTCATATAATTTATTTAAAAATAAAAAGACTTAAAATTCAAAATTTCACCATTCAAATTAGATTACAAGACTACTTATCATTTTAAATGGCTAAATCGAAAACCCTGAAAGCTATTAATTTTTTTTTAAGAATGTCATATAATTTATTTAAAAATAAAAAGACTTAAAATTCAAAATTTCACCATTCAAATTAGGTTACAAGACTACTTAGTTTCGAATTTATAACCTTTTGATCGAAGACACGAATCTCAATAAGTTGAACTATGCCCAAGTTGACACTCATTTTATTAATTTGTTCATTTATTTTCATTTAATTTAGTACAACGTGTAGGGTAAAAATTTGAATTCACTATCTTTTTGTTACATATAAGTAACTTGACTAATTGGGCTACACTCAATTTGTTACTTTTAATTAGCAGTACGAGTCAAATTTATACTTAGTAGCCAATTATAATAGTTAAAACATTAAGCAATTTTTCTTAGCTGTAGATTCGTATACTCAACCATTAATTAGATTTTCTTTTTTTATAAAAAAAAGATCGCAGTAGTGAAAATGGTATCTCCTATTTCATTTCATTCGCTATATAATCATAGAATCCACAAAGATCGCAGTACTATAAACACTATGATTTAATTAATAATCTGTTAGTTTAAATATATTAATTTAGTTGAAACAATCAAAAGGCCTATAGGGCAATCACCATGATAAAATCCTTAAAACTTAAAAAATTTAATGTACATGTTTTAAATAAACAATATCCCTTGATTAATGAACTTCTCCTCCTGCTAACCCACTACCATTCATCTCTGTTTCACAGCAAGTTTTGGCCAATTAGGTCCCCCAATTTGAATCACAAACCAATAGCCCTAAATAAATCTTTTCCCTATCTTTTCTGGTAGCACTAGAAGGAAGAATTCAGCATCAAATTATGCAAATGAATGAAGTCGTACCTGATACAACTGGACAACCATTAGCCTCTACTTTCAATTAAACAGAAGAGATTTACTTTCAACTCAATGGAAAACTAACCCATTGACTCCAACTTCAATAAGGCCCAGAAGCTCCTGTAAATTGTTGAACAAAATATGTGTAGGATTTTCGATTGGAAAAATGAATGGCCAATGTACATAAGATGACAAATTTAAGCTTATAGCATCCCAAGATCCATGTCACGGTTAGAATGACTGCTCCTTGCCATATAGGAAACAATCCCTCCAAAATAGAAGGGGAAGATATAGCCCACAACTGATACAATGCCATAATTTGTGATACGAACCATCGACACAATTGTCGTCTTTGCTGAGGCGAGGCTGCAGAATGTGGCGATGCTTTGAGGGCTTGAAATTTCACAGAACGCCTTACAACTGCCAACCATAACAGATGGTTCATTTGAGTGTGGTAAAGAATCAGCGTCCAATGTAGCTGGGCTGGAATGGATGCAGGGTTTTTCCTCTAGTTTGATGATGGAGCATAAGTCTGGCATCTCAAAACAAAAGAGACTTATACTTCAGCCACTCGAAATGCATCATCGTGCTCTTCCACTTCTTTGGCTTTGGGACCAAGCCTGTCCAGGCTTGAGCCCAGTAATCGTTGGTCACCACTGTTCATCAGAGGCGTCTGATCCAGAGTTGCATTCCTCTTGTAATTCCATACAAGCATTGAAATGTAATCTTGGGCTGAGACAAGACCCTCTTCCCGAATGCATCTAAGTTGCTCCTCCAGCATTCTAGGATCCTCGAGCATTATGAATTCGATCAGGGCCTTTTCATGATCAGGTCTCCAATTAGTTGGTAAGGGGGTGTAATCAGTCTCGGGGACAAGAGTCATCCGTGTGAACTTAAGGCCGTCAATTGACTCAGCAAGACCCATCCTCAGAAGGTTATGGTACTCGGGCGATTGTCCTTTCTTCTCCTTCAACGGGCGGCTAAGATTTCGAGCACCAATCTTGTAAACCTTTGCCCGAGAGCGGAGTTTGTACTTTGCAGCATAAAGCTTTGCAAGTGAACCTCTTAAGATGTAAGAGCAAAAGTTCACCACTTTCTTCCTGTTGTCGGCATATCTGTACCACTCAACAATGGTTAACAAAAACTTGTTCATTTGTGCATTTGTGTGAGCTTGTGTGGCATGAAACATTCTAAAGCAAGGCTGTGGATCAGGATCTCTATCACCCTTCAGAAAATTCAGCTTCCTGAATTGCTTAATGCATTGTTTCAAGCTTGCCGTGACAGAAAGGAGGGTACCGACACCTTTCTCGCTAATAATCTTACCACCAGTAGCAGTGTATCGAAGGGTAGGGTACACGACTCTCCGACAAAGCACGTGATCTAGAAACATTATACCCTTGGTAATGTGTTCAATGGGAAGACACTCATTGTCAAGCTTGAGCATATACTTCTGATCACAAAACTCAATCAACTGCTTTCTTAATGTTGCTGCATCGGCCCTAGGCCCTCGAATACCAATCAGAATATGACCTCCATACCGAATGTAATCCATCTTCCGGGTCTTATCTGGACCACTTGTCGGTACAAATTCTGGCCAAGATGTATTTCCTTGATCTGCTTCTCCTTCAGGACTATTCCATATGACATCACTCTTAGATGGAGAATAGAAGTCCTTAATCCTTCCCTCCATCCAGCGGTCCAACTCATCTAAACAAATATTGGCCAGAAGAGGGCTAAGAATCCCACAATGACCCCATGAAGGAATCTTCACTGCCTCTTCAGGAGCAAAACCAAAAAATGTCTCCAACCAATATGGATCAGGCTTCGGTTCATCCTCAGCTAATACTCTCTTCTTCTGGTACTTCCTTTTCTTCTTCTTCTTCTTTTCCCCTTCATCGACCTTGCTCGTTATAACCGGTGTAACCAAGGCAGATTTAACTAAATCAATCACTTTTTTATCTCTTATACCTCTCATCAAAGCATTTATCACCAATCCTACCTTCATACCATCTAAAATTGTACTTAGATCGCCTTTCACATACCATAAATAACCTGCAAAATGCCTCCTAATTACCCGCAGCACTGTATGTGCATTCCTCCCTGGCCTAAATGCATAAGATTTTGGTGAAAACCGAGCTTCATATATTGGTTCCAAAATCATAAACAGAACCTCTTGAACAATTTTATCTTGAAATGCAGCAGCTTGCGTAGTTGTCAAAATAGCTTTTATCTTCCTCTTCGACAATGATTCGTAATCCGTCTTATCTTTTGGCGATTTTATGAAGAACTGCAATCTTGCTCCCCACTTGAACTTGTTATCAAGAACTGCATTTCTAAGCGCCAGTAAGTCTTCTAGTGCTGACCTTTGTATTGCATTTCGAGGCATATAGGCGCCCATCTCATCGGCACAAACTTTCTGGTACGCCAAAACCCATAACTCAAACCTCCGAAGATACGACGTTAAATTGGTCACAATCCTATCCGGTTCGCGAAAATTCTCAATCCACATCTGGGAACAAACAGAGACTCCATCTTCCTTCATTAGGGTGGACGGATCATCAGGATCGGGCGTACGGCGGTGCGGCGGAACAAACGAAAACACCCTACAAAATGAAAATCCATAGAAACTAGAGTTCGGAGGATTGAGCTTGGAGAACACAAATACGTTGCTAGTTCTGACAATACTGGAGCTCGCAAAAATCCGATGAGCAAATACGGAAACACCGCGATGCATCTAGTGTGAAACGATACGCTCGATCTTTTAGGTCATCTCCGGGGCCCAATTTCACGAACTGTCAGTAAATTAACTCGTATTAATCGCGAAAACTGCATAAACCCTAATTGAAGCAGTATGCAGAGAGTGATCGAAACGTTAAGATTTCTTCGAAGCCCGAGATAAGAGTGTAAAAACCCTGTGGCCGCCTGGTCTCGACTGGAGAATGCTACCGTAGAGACGAAGGAAGGAAGAATACGGCTAGAGTGAAGGTAGCGGCAATGGCGGATACGAAAGGAAAAACCCTTGCTTAAACCCCTCTGCTCGAAGAAGAGAATATGCGATTTGTATTTTGCAGCGATACCCTTCGACTCGTTTGTATTTTAAATGTGTACTCTTGACCCGACCCGAATATTATGTGTTTGAACTTTGATTCATTTTTCTTTTCTCCAAAAAAATATATATTGTTAAAGATAAATAATATATATAGAGAACAGAAGTGTAAAATAAACTAATAAAATTTAAAAGGTATTAACGAGTTAGGTTCATGTTAGTCGAAATATAAAAAAAAAGAAACTGAAGAAATCACTTCTGAGGAAGAAAAATTTAGAGTAGTTTCAATTTTAGCATAATTTACCTAAAGTATTGCAAATATATAATTGCTATTTTTTTAAATAACTATGATTTTTTTTGTAGGGCACCTTGCGTTTTATTGAGATGACTCTTTATCTTCTTTGCATTATAGTTCAGAAAACTTCTATAATCCAGGATCAAAGATGACAAAGCAGAAGGTGAGCGATAATAGATGTGTGGAAATGATCGACTCGAACACCGTTTTGAAATCTATAGAGGCTATTAATCTTAATTGTATTGACATCTGTGAACAACATAATTCGGGGAATTTGCCTAATCCTTCCTTACATGTCATGGTGGAGAATAAGACAACTTTTGAGGCAATTATTTTCCTTCTAATCGTAAATAGGGATGCCATAATTGACAAGATCTCTCATGATTTGAGGGGTCTCCTCCAATATTATTGACATCATTGAATAGAGCTGAGAATGTTGTTACTTTGGAAAAGGTATCTAGTGGACTAAAATTTGTCCATGTTCATAGTTATTTAAATATCCGAGCTATTTTATTGGTCAAGTATGTCATTTATGATTATTTCTCTATGAATAGTTGTGTATCTTTCGTGGATTTTAATTATGGTACGTGACCATCATTTTTCTGATGTAACTCTCTTGGTTGTCCGATTTCTCTTTGATAGAGTGTTTCTTCGATAAAAATAAATAAACGAGAAAAAACTACTTATGATGAAAAGTCATATTCCACATTTTTAACAAGTCAAAGAGGGGAGTAAAAAAGTCATAGCAAAAGGTCTCGAGAGGGATTTCCTTGCAATAAGATAGCAAGCCTCATTAAATTTTCTACATCCATGCACATAATAGCCTTCTGGCAAGTTTCTTGAATTTCTCAATTAAATTGATCAAAGAGGAAATTAAATCTCTAAATGACGAGTACAAAACTGCATGGAAGACCTTAAAGAATCTTGCTTCCACTCTTCAGTCTAATTGTGGCTCGTGCAGTTTTTTATTGAATGAAAAGAAGATTGCGCCAATTCAAGATCTCGAAGAGTGGGATGACAGATTTGAAGGTAACCACCCTACTAGTACTAGTTAGTATAGTAGAAAGACCTATCGGCTGTCTCTTATACACATCTAAGGAAAATTAACGCATTTGAAGGTAACCACCCTACTAGTACTAGTTAGTATAGTAGAAAGACCTATCGGACCCGTGAAAGTCTCGTTTTTACGAATGACTTTCTTAAATTCTACCCCAAAGAATACATTCTAGTAACTTCAAACTTTATTGAATCAACTGTCTTTAATGCAAAGCCCTTTTTTAAAAGAACTAAGATATAACTGATCCTTATGATCTCAAGATAAATATTTGGGTCTCAGTTCAAATATGTTGATCGAATATGAAGAGAAACTAGTCAAATGTGTTTAATGTAGAGTTCGGCTCGTTTCTGACTTACAAGAAAGATTATGCTGACGAAATATCTACTAATATAATAGTCGATCACTGTTTACTCATAGCCGGTAAAAGGTCACTTCTATTGACAGTTTGGTAGAAGATTCGTCGAATTATAAATCTATTCGTCCTAATTGCAAAGGGACATTTCCCAATGTTCTCATAAAAAGGCAGAGTCCTACTGAAGTACATAATATCACTTTACTAAATTTGACTTGACACAAATTCAAACTAAGTACTAATTTAAGTTTTGGAGTATAGTGATTGAGCATCACACCGATGTAAAATTCTATTGCAGATCGTCAGATTAATTGATTTAGAGTTCATCTCGATTCACTATCGTATCTCCTAGTATAGAATCTTAATATATTAATTATTTTAGAGTACAGATAATATTAGTGTTTTAAGAGGGAAGTGATTTGTTTGCTCTTTTTTTTTTAATACAAAAAGGGAAGTGCTTTGTCGACGTCGTGCACATGTGATATATATAATTTCTTTAATATAATCAAATCGAAAATATACTTACTGTAAAATATATATACTCTACGACCCGACCCGACCCGACCCGACACACTGGCATCGATTTTAGATTCTTAGACGAGTAGTTCGAAACTGAAAGCAGAATCAGATCAAAGAAAGAAAGAACAAACGCGGGCCAAAAAGCCAGAGTTTCCATTGCCAGGGACCTCGGCCTTCTCGTCTCATTGAGAAGCTCTCCAATTTCCATTGATAATTATTCCTCAATCCGAAAGGTAAATCAGAGATCTCTGGGGGAAATGGCACCAGTGTCAGCTCTCGCGAAGTATAAGCTGGTCTTTCTCGGAGACCAGTCTGTTGGGAAAACCAGCATCATCACACGCTTCATGTACGACAAATTCGACAATACGTATCAGGTAATTTCCTGCAGAATCGTTAATCGCGTAGATCCTTGCTTGTATCGTGCGTTGTGGCCGGATCGGTTTGGAAACTGATACTGAATGTCTGATCTTGTAGCTTTCATCTTTAATTTTGATTTCTCTTCTTTCCATCTGCAATTTTCTCTTCTTGTATGCGGCTTTCTTTTCTGTTGCGTCTGGTTGCATAATCGGAGACGACGAGAGCTCGGTGTTTATGGTTTTAGATCTTTCGGCTTTTATTCATCGGCGATCAGCATTTTCTTTTGCTCACTATGTATTTTTTTCAATATTTTAGTTCCTAGTCGAGAGTTCAGTAAATAAACAGAGATTTAAGTTTATGATTCCCAGCTTGCTGCTTCCGGGCTAACGATGTTCAGATTTTAGCGTTGTTTGTTGCCAACAACAGCAGTCTGTTGTACTAGTGTACCGAGTGCGCCTCACTGAATTGGATCGAAGTGAGAAGTCCGGATTTTCTTTAATGCCTCTCTTTTAGCTAATTTAAATCTAGACCATTGTTCTGGAATCAAGCTCTGACTCCTTACTGACTTTTGTGGACAGAAAAGCTTTTTGATTTTTGCTCCCCCTATTTTACTTTGTTGGTCTTTCTGAAGAATACGTTGGTTGATTTTGTATGATAAACTACCTATGTTACATTACTTAGCATGTGAAATATTTAGTTCCTACCTAATGGAGTTGCGTGGGCATTGCTAGGAATCCAACTGCTAACTTGATAGTGCAATAATGGGTTCCATTTCGATACATTGACAAATATTTATGAAATCACTTTAATGGTCAACTCGGTAATTTTAGTTACATCAACTTGTTACAGCATGAAACATGATTTGACTTCAATTATTGTATCTGCATTAACAGCATGACATGATAAGTCATAAATGGTCCTGGGACGTTTTTGTCACTGCTTCTATGGAGAAGAGGATGTATTGAGGAAACAGAAAAAATTGATTGATGTCCAGTGGACATTTGTATTGTGCTACTGATTAGTTTTTTAAGTTGTCAAAAGAAGATGCTAGATTCATCATTTTTTATGTGATCACAGCAATATCTTTTTTATATTCTTGGGATGTTGTTCTTTTTAATGCCTCAATCGGAGCATTTTATATTAAGCTTTTTGTAGCTATTTTCTTTATTTAGTCTCGACCAATTGGAGAGGTTTCGTAATTGCTTCTTGATAGAACGGGTGCATTATCTACCATATATTGTATTCCATTTTTGATAATTGAAGGTAGATATATAGTTCCATGTGTCTCACTATTTGTCTTTTTTCATTCTCTTTTTATTTTATGATAGATACTATGAAGTTCTTTTTAAATTTCAGTTTCAAATTCACACAAGACATTCACTTCTTGTGATATATTAATTTTTGTGTCATTGTTCAGGCTACAATCGGTATTGATTTTCTCTCAAAGACTATGTATCTTGAAGATCGCACTGTCCGACTACAGTTGTGGTAAGGTTTATTACATTTTACAGCTCATAAATAGGTGACAACTTTCTATTACTAATTCACACGACATTACTTTTCTACAAGAATTATCATTAAATCACATTTTCTCTTGTATTTTAACATGCGATTTATTTGTCCCAAATAATTAATGAACTTACATGATTTCTTGAGACTGGTGTATAAATAATAGATTTCAACAATATAAGCTTTATGCAAACAATTCAACATGGCTATTCCTCCTAAATTAAAACTGTTCTCTTTTGACACTTGAAAATGAATTGCGAGGTGCAGTTCCTTCCTTCAGGAGGGAATGGAAAAGTTCTGGATTTGGAATTCCTTTTTGGAGGAGAATTCTAAATAAAAAATATTGAACTTTAATGCTGTTCCTGTCTTTAGAGGTGGGAGGCTCACCCTGGCACTATCAATTTTCTAACCTTGTTTGTAGTTTTCTGAATAAAATGGTTAGAAATTTGGCAATATAAATTATGAATTTATTTTGGGAGGGATCAAATGGGAAAGGGAGGGGACAGCCACCTTATTAGATGAAACACGTCTCTCTTCTTCTGCTGAATCAAGGTCTAAATATTCGGAACACCAGCCATAAAATTATTGCCCTTCGTTGTATATGGTTGTGGAGGTTTTGTAGGGAGCCTAGTTCTTGATGGATAAGAAACTATATGTTTGAAAATATGAAATTTCAAAAGAACAGTAGGGGAGGAAAGCCTTAATCGAGGCCAAGGAAGTTTTGGAAAGAGTCTTCCAATTAGCACAAAGGGAAGAAATTATATAGTTAAAAAGGAAGAAAAACCATAGTTACCGAAAGAGTAAAAAGCTTGGACAATCTGCATCAGAGCAACGCCCAAAAACATTATGAACCCACAAAGAGTCCAAATAAAAGCTCCAATAAAATTCATCCAAAAAGAGCAATTCTCATTCCCCAAGAGCAATTGCACAGCTCACCCTGTCTTTATACAATTCTCTAAGTTCCATCTGAAAAAAATGATACTTAGTTTGAGTTAACAGGTTATGGGAGAATGTCAGCATGAATAGTTCTCTCTTCTGCGAGGAATCAAAGTGGGAGGTGTATAACTATAAGGTTGCTGAAACTTTTAGTAGCAAGCTGGATTCTATCATTTCTCTCTCGGTGTCTCTCCCTTTCAGGTGCCTTTTATGTTGATTTTCTCTTTTAAGTGGTCATCATGAGACAAGCCCCCATCTACCAGAATCTATGCAAAAGGACTTGGAAATCCAAACTCCTTATACTGTGCAAGGTGTTTCCATGTGCTATCTATCTCCAAGGGGGTAATACAAATGTTGTCCAAAGAAGGAATCATTTCTACAGTGTTTACTTTATCAGTCAGACACAGACCGAATGGGGAGTCATTTCACTAGATGGTTAAGTGGATTTTTTTTCATCTTTTTAACTTTAGCTGTGCTTGGTTGAAAAGTCTTCATTATCATCCTTTCTCTCTGAACATAGCCAATTGGAGAGCCTTTTTTCTAATTCCTGGCCTTTGTTCGTTTCGTGCCTTTCTATATGCTCTTTCCTCTCACACTAAAGGTTGAAAGTAGATGCAGAAGAACTCTCATGGAATTTATAAAAAATGGAGAATAATTATAAAAGACTTTAGAAAACTAGACAAGGAACTTATTAGCTTCTAAGGAAACTTTATCTAGAAGCTAGGTAACAAGCAGTATCCAATAAATCTCTCTGCCATTTCTACATTTTCCATGAAATAAAAAACAATGTGCTCGTAAAATTTCATCCTTTGGTTGCTGAGTTAGCATGCACGTCTTGTAGAATAATGAATTAATTTTGACTTTTGTGCCACATATATTTATTTATGGTACTTTTAATTCCATTTAAATGAAAGAACCAACTTTCTTCCATTTGTCTCCCCCAGAGGAATGGGTTTTGCTGTACCTTTTTAAGTTTTATATTACTTTGTTTATCAGGGACACTGCTGGACAGGAAAGATTCAGAAGTCTAATACCCAGCTATATCAGGGACTCATCCGTCGCTGTCATTGTTTATGATGTTGCAAGTATGGAATCTGAAACACATTTTAAAATCTCCCCAGTTGCAATTCATATGCGTACTTTCTATAGCATTTGCGCAATGAGAATAATTCGGCCAACCACTTAGTAAATGTCTATTCTTTCCATGTGGATTTGCCATGATTGATGTTGTGGTAAAATGTTCCATATGGGTGTACGTGGGTTCTGATATCCAGGCCTTTTAGGTTCACAATCTCGTACAGTTGCTAGATTGCATGCTGCTTAGTTATTTCTGCGCCATGATGTGCTTAAAGGATTATTTTTAACTGTCTTCCTCCTTCTGCTACTTAGGCCGGCAGACTTTTCTAAACACTTCAAAATGGATTGAGGAGGTGCGCACTGAGAGGGGAAGTGATGTCATTATAGTGCTTGTTGGAAACAAAACCGACCTCGTGGAGAAGAGGTACTAGTTGATCATGGAATTTACTTTTCGCAATTCATTTCTTTTTTGTTCGCACATTTCATCTTTCTTCTTTTCTCTTTCTTAATACTCCATGTTAGTATACTCTGGAACCCGTTTTTAATTAGTTGTGTTGGAAAGTAAGGATGTTTGAAAAAATATATATAGTTTGTTGTTGACCACTCATTTTGCAATATGATTTCTGAATATAGCTTCGAAAACAAATAAAGCTTTGAATTTCATATAGCTGAACACGGAACTTGGATTAGGGGTAAGATTAATTTAGTTTAAATGTGTTATGCTCGCGAAATGTATACAATATATTAGTTAATGAAAATAGAAGAACAAAAAAAATTTTATGAAGTAAAATTAGCAAGAAATGATTTTTAAAATTTTAGTATGAACAGTTCTAAATTTATAAGAAATACTTCTAAATAGCTCCTGCTGATATAATATCAGCGCTCTAGGCTAATAAGTAATTATGTGTCTTTATTATATAATCTTATGTTTATATTATATGTGATGTGTGGTGAAAGAGTAAATATCGTGTTTATATTGTACATGATGTTGTGATCTACCGCTGTGCTTGCTCATATATTTTTGAATGGGAAGTAAGGTTTAAATTCCCAAGAAGTTTAGTCCTGTTTAGCCTATTGTTTCATCATCTTCTCGTATCCATGATTCCCAGGCAAGTCTCTATAGAGGAAGGAGAAGCCAAAGCCCGTGAACTAAATGTCATGTTTATCGAAACAAGTGCAAAAGCTGGATTCAATATTAAGGTAAACCAATATGAAATTTTATCCAAACTCTGATACCTCGACCTCCAGGTTGATCTGTATCAATTGAGCTTTCTCATCTGCTGTATACTTAGGAACCCTATTCTTTTTTCTTTTTTTGTAATCGGGGTTCGAACCTCCAACTTTTAAGCAAGTACTTGAGCTATCTTCGTGTTAGTAAATACTTAGGAACTTGACACGTATGCTTCAGAATCCTTCTTTCTTTGGACAAAATTTACGTTAAATTTTAGAAAAGCCGTGATTTTCTTTGTATTCATTTCTGGTCTTTCTGATGACCAAACCTATTAATTGTGCAGGCACTTTTTAGGAAAATTGCTGCAGCGTTGCCGGGAATGGAAACTCTCTCTTCAACAAAACAAGAAGACATGGTTGATGTTAACCTGAAGTCCTCCGGCAGTGGCGCTGCACAGTCCCAGCCGCAGTCCGGTGGGTGCGCCTGCTAACGAGAGTACGGATGTGAACTGTTGAAGGAATCACTCTTTCTTGCCTTTTGCTTTAAGTTGCTCAACCTTGTAGAGAACTGTAAGCATTCAGGTACAAGATGTGGTTATGACTATCAATGCCTGCTTTTGAGCAAACTAAATTCGTAGAAAGTAATTGGTGGGCAGAGTAGACAACTGCTATTTTATGAAGTTATTTGATGTATTGGTGGAGTCATTATTTGGGATTTGGGAGAATGTGTAAAGATTAGAAGAATTATCTGGGACTCGAATACAGAATTTTGCTTTGTTCTTTGTGTAAGTTGTAATTCATGTCTAGGGGGAATTCTGAAAATTTTCGTCTGGTTTTGCAATGGATTGTTGCGTTGGTTCATATTAAACTCTGGTGTTCATGTATGCCATTGAAGGAAAAAGGTGAGTGGTTTTTTAGTTCAATAAATTCTTGGTGGTTCATTTGATTATTTTAACAAACTGGGTAGACAAGTTCTACACTTCTGCTCAATATGCTCGATTATTCATTTTCTAGTAATAGAAAAAAAAAAAAAAGGTATGTAGAAGAAGATTTCATGGGGGCACATGTTTCATTGTTGTTTCAGTTGCCAGCATACATTTTGAAAAGATTTCAACAATCATCTTCGTTTCTTTTTCCTGTTTATTATTTCCCAGAAGGAATGTTTCTTTATCGGCTAAGTTTGTTTTTTCTATGTTAAGATTACCACCTAAAGCACAATTATAAATGAAAATTAACTAAACCCATGACATTAAATTTCCGTGAATGGAAAATCAAAAAAGTAGATTATTATTAATAATGAAAGAAAACATTAAAAGAAATATTACTTTTGTGGAAGATACTAAAATAAGCTGAAGAATGTGACCAGATGTGGTCATAATATAACGAAAGATACTGAAAAATAACTCTTTAAAATACCTTAAACAATGTTAGATCCGTTGAACTAAAAAAAATGTTAAATTAAAATTTAAATACCGAACCTTGCCAATGTTGTAGAAGAAGTATTATTCGCAAACTTACCTTAACGCCTGTAGAACTCCCATTCAAAAAAAAAAAAAATCTTGTATACCGTAATTAAAAATTTGAACTGGGCTTGGAGGGGTGCGCCAGGCCCATGCGGTAGTGCAACGCAAAGGGCAACGCTCGAGGGCCCGAGTAGCAAGCTACTGGGCTGGGCCCACACCCGTAAAAAATAAATTTAATATCATGTGGGCCGATGGCCCACGTATCAGATATTAAACTGATAAGAACAGATACTACACTTGATCTTAGCCAAAAGGCCGAGAAAGGTATGATTTTGGCCTTCTCCTACGGTGGCTTTTATATTGCCAGTTGGTTCCGTCTTCCTGCGTCCTTTCCGATATGGGATGATCTCTACAACCTCTTCTCTTGCTATGGGAATTCTGCTGCACCTTTTTATTTTGGTAGTAGGTTATTTTGACGAATTTATTTCAGAAAAGAAAAAAAAACATTAATCGCATTTATATAGGAGTATTTAACAACTATTTATATTTATTTTTTCGACAAAAAAAATATTTATATTTTTTATTTTTTATTTTTTAAAAAATAAATTTAAAATTATATAGAAATATTGAAAACAACCAAGTAAATTTATTCTTTCTTATTTTCGTTCCCAATTTATTTTAAAATATAAATAATTTGTCATTCTTTGATATATGAGTGTTGAGGGTCGTTCAATTATACTATTCTTGTCCAAAATGATAAACATAAACAATAAATGGAACGCTACCATATAAGCTCATAATATTGTGCTTCATGCACTCTCAATTTTGAAATGTTTGTTTTTGTTTTTTTAATTAAACTACAATTGACACCTATCTCGAAATCTCCCTCTCCAGCTTGTTATACTAAAAAAATAGTCAGAAAGTTTCAACCACGCCTTTTTATAACTTAAAAGAAATAAAATTAGACTTGTAAATAACCCACTTAGAAAGCAAATTTCCCACCTTATATCAAATATCTTGAAAACTAGACAAAATTTATCATTAATCAAATTAGCAAAATAATTTGTAATTCTATATTTTATAAGTTTAAACCAACCAAAAAATACAGATTTAATCAAATTAGCATAACAAGAAATTTCATATGAACACATTGGACAGGAGAACAGCGAACATCGTTGATATACTTACTGAGTTATTGGAAGGGCAGTATCACTCAACACTACTAACATTTAGGATCCTAATTACCTTTAATCTCAAATTAAGTGATGATATGAGATTTTGATTTGACTTCATGTTTAACTTCATGTCTTGCTTAAAAAGTAAACAAAAAATTGAACTGACTAATGCAATTGATTATCTAAATATTTATATATCAATATGAACTGTTCAGCTCGGATCAATTAAGATATATATCATCAAATTTTCATCTAAAAAAGAAGAAAAAAAAATAAATAAAAAAACAAAGTATGTGCCTTGGACCTTGGTGTGACTCGACAACTAACTCCTGCCAGAGCCGCAGCCCGCCAAAAACAAATATTCAAAGAAGTTTAAGTATTTTTATATTTTATAAATACATTAATTAATATATGTTGACGTTTGACAGAAGTTCAGATGAAAGTCGAATCATATAAAAACCGTCCCGAAACGTGCCACCGCAAAAATCGACCAACATTCCAAACGAAATTAAATAGTAATTTGGAATCCAATCAAACGCAGCAAAAATAGCTCTCTCTCTCCTCTTCAACTTCATCTCCTTCTTCACTCTCACCATTCTCAGTCTGCTCCTCAAAATCCTCTCCCATGCTCCTCCGAATTCCACCTCTCCTGCGGTTCCTGTAGAGGAGGACGCTGCACTCCCCGAAATGGCTACCATGGAGACCTTGATCGGCCTCGTTAACCGTATACAGAGGGCTTGTACTGTGCTTGGTGATTATGGCGGTGATTCTTCCTTGCCTACTCTGTGGGAGGCTCTTCCGTCCGTCGTCGTCGTCGGCGGTCAGGTAATGTTTCTCTAACTTCTCATCATCTGTGGACTGTAATGCATCTCTATGTTTGGTTTATTTCTTGGAGTTGTTGTTCTGTTCTGTTTGCTATTTTGCTCTTTCGCTTGTATTTGTATGCATGTATGTACGCGGTGTTTTCAGGTGCTTATCTTTGCGTACGAGGCTAATTTACGGTGTTTGGCTGGAAATGTAGAGCTCTGGAAAATCATCGGTGTTGGAGAGCATCGTCGGTCGTGATTTTCTTCCCAGGGGATCAGGTTAGTCAGTGTTGGTTCGAGTTTTGCATTTTTTTTAAAGATCAACGTTGAGCTTCGAGTTGGTTTTGCTTTGTTTCGAATTGAATTCTATCAAATATCTCTAAGTGGAGATGCGTAAATATGTTAGAAACAATTGCCTGATATTCTCTGGCAATTCGAGTGGATGGATGTTAGTTATCCTATCTAAGAATTAGTGTCGGGTTAACTCGCGAGATCACACCACAAGAGAAATCAACAGAGTGTGTAATTAAAAGAAAAACAATAAAACTATTAGAACAAGAATAGAGATACTGTCAAAGTCACGTGTTCTGCGATCACTGTCAAAGTCAGTCCAGGAATTTTTAATATCGATGAATTGGAGAATAGAGATTCTGACGGGAGAGGTAAGCCTCTGTTCGGAGGTTATCTCCAGTTGACTTATAACTGATTACTGTCTCTGAACGGACAAAATCCTTTATAATCAATCATATTCTTCAAATTGCTGCCGCAATAGCAGTTTCTTGAACCAAAGATTTAACAATGTCCCTAAGATTCAATACGGAAATAAACCCGGTGAAGAAATGTTCCAGAATGTTGCATTTATAATCTTATTTACAAGCAGTAAAATATTTTATTGTTTTCTGTCTAATGTTTTCGATAATTTTCTTTTCCAGGAATTGTTACAAGGAGGCCTCTAGTTCTGCAGCTCCAGAAGACAGAACCAGGGAGAGAGGAGTATGCAGAATTTCTTCATCTGCCTAAGAAAAAATTCTTGGATTTCTGTACGTCATTTTGTTTTTTATATTATAAGAGGTACTCATTTTGTATTTTTAGACACAGATATCCTCAAGTTGGTTCATGAATCAGTTGCTTTTACGTTCCTCGTCAGGTCTCAATTTAATTATTTGAGGGAAAATGGTTACTCTAGTTTTGTAGTTATTCCAGGGAAAATGACAGTGGAGCAAATTAGAAGAGATATATTAAGATTCAAGTTCGTGGTATGACTATACATGGTAGTTCAAGAGTTTCTAGGAATTTCTTCCTATTTAGTTCGGGAATTGGATTTTTGTTACAATTATTTTTGTCCTCCAAACACAACTAAACTGGCTGAAAAAGTTCATTTTATCTGTACTCTACTTATCTCTCACTATCCTGCACCACAAAGAAAGTTGAACTAGAAGAGGTTTAAAAATTATAAAGGTGGGCTGTCTTATACACGCACATCGTGCTGTTTGAAATGTCTGCAACCAGATGTTGCTCCAGGAGATTATATTTTTGAAATGCAAAGATGTAGTACTTCCATTATTTAACAAGTTGTATATAATGATGAATATCTTATTATGTTTTCCACTCTTGAATTAGAGCTGATGAAAAGAAAAATTAAAACCATACTCCCAAGGGGATTGATGTCAGTAAAATTATCTAGATATTTTCATTGACATTATTATAACTTCTATTACTTTTTGCAGCAATGGTTAGGAAGGAAATTGAAGATGAAACTGATAGATTGACTGGGAGGTTAAAACAGATTTCTCCCGTTCCAATTCATCTTAGTATCTACTCTCCAAATGGTAATTGATCTAGATTTATAGTGTGGTTCACATTATTCAACGGTGCCTATTTTTGTTTAGCCAATGATTCTTCCAGCTGTATTTTCAATAGTTTTTCATCTTGTTTGCTTGTACTGACGATCCCTTAGTTTCTACTTTCATTCTAGTTAACACATTATACATTGGAGACATGTTCTTATGATTATTATGTTCTAAATATTGTCATAACTTTAATTTGATTAGGTGAAAAATGAAATAGTACTTTATAATTTGATGAAAAACTGTTATTTTATATGGGACATATGTTATATTTCTGTTTCCTCCGAGTCTCTGACCTACATCAGAGACTTAGCTACCATTTCTAGGATTGTTATAATTTCTGAGCTAGCTTCTACTTGGTTCACCTATTGGTTTCATAGAATGCAATTGCAGAAAACTTTCGTTGAATGCAGTTAATCCATAATATTCTCGCATAAACATCACAGACGGTTCTTCTGATTGTCGCGACTTCAATATTTTGTCATATTTTTGGTTTTATAAGATCAGAATTATAAACAATAACTGCATAGTTTGATGGTGAACTGCACTTTCTGTACGACATGTATTCTAATATCTTTTGACTTTGACAATCATCTCAAGGAATTAGCTGCCACTTTTCTAGGATAGTTATAATTTTGTAATGTGGTATTGTTGTTCTGCCTTCTCCGCTCATTTATATCATCAAATGTATATATCATGTATTATTTTCTGCCCATAAAGTTAATCCATATTAATACGTAATCATTCTGTGTTAACTGATGATGAAAATCATTTTGGTTTCTTAATATTAATCTGATTGCAGTGGTTAATTTGACACTCATAGATTTGCCTGGTTTGACAAAGGTTGCTGTAGGTATGACTTCCACTATTTTCATTCTAAACCATTACAAAATAACATCATAAATTCCAAACATATATCGAGAGGTTCATAAATTTATTGGCTGCAGAAGGACAGCCTGAGAGCATTGTTCAAGATATCGAGGCAATGGTTCATACTTATGTTGAGAAGGTAATAGAAGTATTTTTTGTCTCTATAAATTTTCTGTTGCCAATTACTGGGATTACTTCGTTGGAAATCTTTTCATAACAGATTCAATAAATTAGATTAGCCTGCAAATTACGTGTTGGACTCTGTAGAAATGATCAGACTCTTATGAAAAATAGAAAATTGGGTTAATATAAACAAGGGTTTGTTATGCTCCATTTTCCCCCTTATTTGTAGAATACTGAAATACTAAATTGGAGTTTTGATATCCCAGTTCACTCAATCTTGGTATATGAGTTGCACTTCTCGTAACATTAATGGACTGAGCATCTAATTAAATAGAAGTACAAACTCGAGAAAAGGCAGGGAGGATGTTTGTTTATTTTGATGTTTTCAGCTAGCTGAAGTTTCTTGATCTATTTGTGGATAAAATTGAAATCTTACTGCAGCCTAACTGCATTATTTTGGCCATAACTCCGGCTAATCAAGATGTTGCAACGTCTGATGCTATTAAGCTTTCTCGAGAAGTTGATCCCACAGGCATGTTTTTTTTCTTCCCAGTTGTTTCCAGTTAAGAATGAATTTTAATAGCCAAATATTTAAGCGTTTTTGTAATACATGCATGCTATATGTGTCTGTCTCTCTCTTCTTTTCTTAGGTGAAAGGACATTCGGTGTGTTGACAAAGCTTGATTTGATGGATAAAGGAACAAATGCTTTGGAAGTAAGGATCGAGTTTTTTCACATCTCCAGCTCTATATTTTAGTGATCTCAGATACTAGTTATTACTTGGGCATTCAATGATGCAACTGTAGTTATTAGGCATTCTAAATGATGTGTGATTCATTGTCTTGAATTTATTTAAGGATGTAAAAGAATAGCATTCCTCGCATGTGATGTAGCTGTGTAAATTTAATGAAATGTGGCAAAAACTAAATATACAATGAGTGTATGTCCATTAAATTGGCTGGAGGCAGATAACTTAACTTATTCGGCAGCTATCAATACAATAGCATTGATTCACGAATGGTAGAGGAGATTCTGTCGGTGCCTGACTTCGACGCTTTGAAAATTCTCAGTATTCTGTTAAAGTGAATTTGTTTAATAACTTATCTCTCCACTCCACATCATTTCTATTTTAGGAAGAGTGTGAAATTCGTTCAGGATCAACATATGTCTTTATTGATAGATGCAATGCTACAAACCCTTGGGTTGTCCATTCAGATGCATTGATGATTAATTTGTGATCCTCCATTTCTGTCACCCTCACCTTTTCTGCATCTGCCTCAAAATTGCTCTTTGAAGGTTCTTGATGGAAGGTCCTACCGGCTTCAAAATCCTTGGGTTGGAGTTGTGAATCGTTGTCAAGCTGATATCAATAAGAATATTGACATGATTACTGCTCGGAGAAGGGAACGTGAATTCTTTGCTTCTAGTGCTGATTACAGACATTTGGCCAGCACAATGGGCTCAGAGTATCTTGCAAAACTTCTCTCAAAGGTTGAGCTGAGATACATTTATTTGCTTTATTCCTATTGGTATCACTAATAAAAAGTTCAAATTGACATGGTTTCAGCACCTAGAGTCTGTAATAAAAGCACGTATGCCAGGCATAGCATCATTAATTAACAAAAGCATTGATGAAATCGAAACAGAGCTTGATCAGCTTGGGAAACCCATTGCAATTGATTCTGGGGTAACCTTTCATTTATTTTTCAATAACTGGGACCTGATACGCTTGGTTATTAACTAAGTTTTGTTTGACTCACATGTAACAGGCTCGGTTGTATACTATCCTAGAGCTCTGCCGTGCATTTGACCAGGTGTTCAAGGAGCATCTCCATGGGGGGTATATAATCTATGCTTTCTATTAATTTTTTATCAGCAAAATCTTTTTGATCAAGTGCTGTGCAATAATCATGTGTGTATGTACCAAGAATTTTATTGCTCATTGATGTTCAGGCTGGTCAAAGCAATTTTGTATTTACTTTTTTTTTTTTTTTTATAATTGTTTTTTCAATCTAAGTTGAGCACGTTCCTCTTATCATCTGCACAAACTGTTTAATTTTTATAGTTGTCAGGCTTTTGGGTTTCTAGTTGAGTTAATATTACTCATACAAGGCTTACTTTATATTTGATGTTATCTTTTTCAACTACACAGTTCGACTAGAATTATGCTTAATGGTGTTTTTGTCGTAACCATTTTTCTTTGAGTTATAGGCGACCTGGCGGTGATCGGATATATAGCATTTTTGATAATCAGCTCCCTCATGCTTTGAGAAGGCTTCCCTTTGATCGCTATCTTTCACTGCAAAATGTAAGGAAAGTGATATCGGAGGCTGATGGATACCAACCTCATCTAATTGCACCTGAGCATGGTTATCGGCGCCTTATTGAAGGTGCAGTAAGTTATTTTAGAGGTCCAGCTGAAGCTTCAGTAGATGCTGTAAGTGCTACCTGTTTTTTCCATGCTGTATTTCATATTCGCTCTTAGTACAATTTTAAAATTCGTTCATGTGGTACTTTCAGGTTCATTCCATACTGAAGGAACTAGTTAGAAGATCAATTGCAGAAACTCAGGTCGAATTCGAGAAACATTACATTCTGATAATGCTAAATTAATAACCCTCGAATCATCTGAGATGATGTCTTGAAATTGAATAGGAGCTGAAGCGCTTCCCCACTCTACAAGCCGAAGTTGCAAGAGCTGCAAATGAAGCATTGGAGCGGTTTCGTGAAGATAGCAAAAAGACAACCTTGCGATTGGTCGACATGGAATCCTCATACCTAACAGTAGACTTCTTTCGAAAACTCCCCCAAGAAGTCGAAAAGGGAGTAACCCCAGCTGCAGCTTCCACAGATAGGTATACAGAGGCACATTTCCAGCGGATAGCATCAAATATTTCGTCCTACATCAAGATGGTGTCTGAGACACTGAGAAACACTATTCCAAAGTCTGTGGTCTATTGTCAAGTTAGGGAGGCAAAGGGATCTATATTAGATTACTTCTATGTCCAATTGGGAAAAATGGAGGTACTGTTCTTGGAGCACTCAATTCCCAGTCACGTTGGAAATATATTTTCTCACTTTACTGTGTTAATTCACTGAATTTTATGCTACTCTATTCTTTTGTAGGGCAACCAACTTGCAGCATTTTTGGATGAAGACCCTGCATTGATGGAAAGGAGACAACAATGTGCCAAGAGGCTTGAACTATATAAATCTGCAAGGGATGAGATTGACTCGGTCTCATGGTCCCGATAAGAACAATGGATAACAGCCTAATGCAATGGTAAGAATTACACGGTAAAATTTCTGCCTAGGTTGGTGTTTCTGAGTAGAGTATAAGCTCTTACCCCGATCGTCCCCATTGATCTAGTTTTTCTTAGATTGAGATCCCATCGTTTTTCTACTAGAAAGGCTCAAAATTTTGCTTGATTAGTGCTCTGTCTTTCCATTTCCTATTAACTTTTGATTCATTCAAGTTATTCATTGAGTTATATTGAACCGAGGATTTGCATAGAAGGTTATAAAAGAAAGGAAAATGGTGACATTTTCCGTGCCACAGCCACCACTACCTGAAATACTGTAGGAACTTTGTATTAACTTTTCTAAGTTGTTGGTGGGTAACTACAATTTTCCTTAGTTTTTTTTATGGGACATGTACAATCAGTTTTTTCCCTTCACCACTTAAAAGTAAGGTTTCTTGGTGAAGTTCCTGATAAGTAACTTTTTTTTCCCGGTATCAAAATTTGAACTTAGGTCGGTGAATTTTAACCTTCCAAAACTTTAATTTCACAATTTAAACCCTGAATTTGAAAATGTAATGCAAACTCTCAAATTTAATCTTAAAAATTGTTTGAATCAACTCATACATTATTAGGCGGTATTTGGGATAGTTTGATCTCTCACCCTGCAATAAAAAAAAAAAAGGAAATTCTTTTAAAATTCAAGGAAACGTCCAACGTTGTCATAGAAGTGCTTAAACTTGATCATGAAAACACTCAAACCTAGTCACATAATAGTCTCTCCGTTTAAAAAAAAAATAAAAACGCTTAACTAGTCATAAATCTTTTTTTCCCTAAAGAAAAACTTAACATTTATTGAGATTTAGGTAAAATTGACATAGAAGTTTAAGAATTCGAAGGGTAAAAAATGCTCAATATAAGAATCTTACTCTAAACAACGAGATCATACAAATTCGGTAGGAAGCATGATTTAAAAGTACAGTATCTACTTGCATAATTGATCGGGGCATTACTTAGCCAAAGGTCAGAACCTCTTGAAAGGGAAAAAAAAGGTTAATATATGAATAGTGGAATCTTTGTTTTTGGTTGGATCTCATTCTCAAGATACAGATAGACTCAACCAAGACACATGGTAGGGTTAGGGCGGAACACACTATTTATATTACCAAAGTGGATTCCATGTCATGGATGATGATGGTTTTAAAAAAAACTTACTAGTATTATGGAAAGTATCATATTCCATTTATTCATATTATTTCTTTTTATAAATAATTTTTTAATATTAGTAGATCCTACGTCATTTTTAATACGAATATAAATGGAGCTCCACTATCGATCACTGTCGGCGAGTTGTTTGCCGGCGTTCTCCAAGTAAGACCCTTGTTACCTGTCAACCAACCAACGTAGTTCCATACTGCCGAAAAGAAGAAAAGAAAAACGGAGTCAATCTTGGACTGTATATTTTATTTCCATTAACAGCAGCCTGCCAACTTCTACCCCCATTTAAACCTACATCTTCATCATTCAATGAATTTAATCTTGCTTCTGCTGATTGGTTTCCTCGAAATTGAAGAGGGGCTTGTACTTTTCTTTCTCTTGTTCTTTAGTTCTAAATATTATTTTGGTTCATCCTACTTTCAACTTTATTCATTTTAGCCAAATAATGCATAATTCAGAAGTAATTGTTTTGGTCATTGTACTTTTAAAAGGTGATAATTTTGGTCTTGTTTGTAAAATTTTAGTACAAATATATATACACAATGAATATATTTTAATAAAAAGACTACGCCAGGAAAATGATATACTAAAATTTTGATTAAAAAAATGAAAAAAATAAAAGAGACCAAAATGATTGTTTTAAAAGTATGTACATACTAAAGTGAACAAAAATTGAAAGTATAAGGATCAAAATAAATCAAAACTGAAAGTATAAAAGCTAAATGAGTCTTAAGTTGAGTAAGTCATACATATACATTATTTAAGTTTAGTTGAAGTCCAAAATGAAGTTATGTTGATGCCTAATTGTAGCACATTCAAGGCTCGAAAATAATGATTTTTTGTGTTAATTAATTTAAGGGACGAGAGAAAACAACACATAAGATTTTCATTTAATTAAATTGCGTTCATAGAAATCTAATAACTTATTGATACTAATATAATTCCAAAACATAATTCAAATAATATAATCTAAACTATATCGTAATTCAAATAACATTATCTAATATAATTTAACATTGTGGGCATGTGTAAGTACGATGGTATAAAAGGGTATTTTCGCTATGGTGCTAGAGAGATAAAATTACGAGAATTCAAGAGCCGTGAGTGCACCAAGGCGTGAGGGCATTATTATTATATCCTCGTTAGGAGGCTTTACCCCACAACATGGTGTAAAGAATACTGCTCTCTCATTACCAATGTCGAACCCATAAGTTTATAGAAACATCGACATGTCGATAATAATGATAATATTTGGTCTAAACTTGATACAAGCTTGCGAAAGTGGAAATCGAACAAACTCGATGCATAATGTGAAAAGCAAGAGATGCCCCAATGCCCTTTTTCAGTGCAAAACCACCTAACTTTCCTTCTGTTTTTGGGCAAACCAATTCAATTGGGAGTTTTCTTACTAAACAAATCTTTGAATATATTTCTGCAATGAACGAGTTAGGGCGAGTCAATGACTCAGTAACTCGGTTCGGTTCTATCTGTCTTGGTCGAATTATTACAAGCAAAGCATATAGGCTAACTCTTATCCTAAAACTTTGCACGCTCTTGATGTGAATGGCTTCGCAGATGGTGCCCAAAAAGAAGCTTTTGAGAATTATTTATTTATTTACTTTTTTGGATAAAGAGAATGAGATCTTATTAATTAATTAATGTTATATATATTTATTCCGATGGACTCAATTATTTTAATCAGATGTCATACAAAATACAATTGATTAAATTTATCATAATTCATTAGCTGCGTTTGAGTTTATTGGTGATTTTATCATGTTTAGGATGGTATCAGAGCAGTAAGTCTTGTGTTTGATTTCCAATTCACAAGTGAGACGAGTATTAAAAATGTAGCTATTGTTGACCGGCGTTCTACTTTGATATATAATGATAACTTACCATTAAAGGTAGTTACAAAAATGACTTTATTTCATCCCGAAGTTAGAGGAACCAAAACTCATTTGAGTTGAATTCTTTTACTTTGAAAATCTAGGTGAAAGCTGTTGAATATCATTTTCAAAGATGGCAAAATACCGTGTATATGTGCAAGAAGTATTACTTCTAGTTTTTAATACGATTCTAGCTATATCATTGAGATGCAATACATCCTATTGAATAATCTACAAGGGAAACATTTATCATCTCTACGGTTATTAACACCATACCAACTAATTCCACGAACCGAACACGCAACTCAATAAACGCACATTTTAAAATTAAAAACAACAATAAACGTGTATGTATTATTTATTATATATGCCAACCCTTTTTCTTTTTATGATTATAATCACTAACCACACAGAAGTAAAAAGGGGAGAGAAAATTTAATAGTTTAAGTTGGGAAAGTGGTATTTGTTTTTTCTTCCCTTTT